ATAATCCGCTGCTTGAGTCACTGGTGTTCTGGAGCCAAGCCAAAAGCGGGATGTGTCTTTGGCTAAAGCCTGGGAATCAAGCCAGTGAGTTTCAGGGAAAAGGGACTACTTCTTCCATTCCTAACTTAATCTAGCAGTGAGACATACAACCTAAGGCAAAATATCGGGCTAACGCACAGTGAACGCTACTAAGGCTGAACCGAAAGGAAGAGCTTATATGCCAGATAAACTTCTTCCATTCACAGCGGATGCGCGACTAAGAGTTAGGACTGGAAGTCAGGAATTCCCAGTGCCTGTAAGATGTAAGAGCATAGCTAGATTCCAGAGATAGTAAAGAGTTCTCATACACTATAGAAACTGCTTAACTCTAAATCCAGTGACAGCTTTCAGTCTCTAGTAGCTTATATGCGCTACTAGTGAGACAGCTGATATGCCACTATTTTCTATAGAAGAAGGATGACATCAGCAGCTAAATCGTAACTCGAAGTTAACCTTGTTGGGGTTCTTTCACCGATCCTTAGGTATGGTTGACTTGACTGATTAGTCTCACGGGCCTTAGCTTAGATTGGACAAGTAAACTTCTGGGCCCAACCGAAACGAAGGAAAAGCCCTCAAAAATGAACAAAGCGAACTGAGTTGTCCCTGCTTTATCCATCTCTACTTCGCGGGACTAACCAAAGAGACGATGAACTCTTGATGACGAATTCCACGATAACAAGAAATTGAAATTAATCTTTCGATGTCTGCTCGTTCTCCCCTCTTCAATTCCCAATGAACAACATGATCTTGACCTATTATTTGTTCAATTTGGTCGATTTGATACTTAGTTAATTCTTTTATCTTTATGTTTCCACTGATACCTAATCGATAACGAACCTGAATTGCTTTTTTAGGGCCAATTCCAACAATTTTGGTTGAGGCAATTCTTACTTGTTCATCACCAACTAATCTAGCTCCTGAAATATATAACATTCTTGATCCTTCCTTTTACTAGTCTTCTCGGCTGGAATCATAAATGGGTTGTCTCCTCTTTCATGATCCTTTCTATAGGTAGAACTACTGTGAGCGGTCTAAACTTCGACCCTTATTTCTTTCTTCATATTGTAAAGGGGAGCAAAGCCCGTTTTTTGCTCCCTCTATTGATAGAAAAAGGGCACTCCTGCCGTCGTTTCAGTGACTCATAGGGCTTCCCTCAGCGCAGTCTTTTTCGTTCTTGAGAATGGTCGCCACTTCTACCAGGACCGGAATGATTATCCCTGCCCGATGGGTCTACATCCATCCCTGAATGTCGTCGGGTACTGTTAACTTCCCCGCCATTCTTGTAACTGTCACCTGTAATCCGCGTAGGTGTGTCCGCACCCCCTGAGTGGACGAGAAAGAAAGGATTTCTCGGAGCAACCCCCCAGGTTCCAGACCCAGGAGTCAACTTTCCCGTATGAGCATTCGGTACATTTATCAGTCCGTGGAAGAGTGAAAGGGTCACCACTACTGAGGATCCCCCCCTAATCTTAGATAGGTCGTCTGAGGGTTCGCCGCGGTTCATTGCTGTGCTTACACACAAGGCTACCCTTTTCCGAAAGCTCCGCAGGACCACCTACCACTAGTCTTCGGCCGGAGGGGTTTATTGCACAAAAAGGCCGGGGCGCAGGCTCCCGAAGAGAGAATCCCAACGAATGTCAGATGCAAAGCCCCGCACCTCATTAAGATCATATTGGCATACTCTCCCAAAAAAGAAAGAGCAGACCCCATTGAAGACGAGAGTGAGGTACAACAAGGCCATTTCTGTCCACCGCCCTTCTCAGGAGCCGTACGTGGACGTTACCGCTCATACAGATCCCAGCCAGCAAGCAGTTAGCCTTCCTCTACAAGGAATGGAAGTGTGGATGAATCGACATCAAATATAGGATTGTTGTTGTACACGATCTCCATTTTAGTAGTCCTAGCTATCCACTCCACTATGTGGTAGAGTGTTCGTCCCAACCACTTCGCAGGGGTACCTTCTTTTTTAATTGAGAGAAGGACTCGGAATAGACTCCCCTAGATTCGAGATCCCAAAGAAGGGTATAGAGTTTATCCAAGGAATGCTCTCCCGTGGCGGTACGCGGATTCTCGAGGGCCCGAGCTCCCCGTCCCAGCCAATCCCCCGTTGGATCAAGGACCGCCATGATCCTTAGAATCTCGACCTTGACCATGAATAGGTCTTTTGCCTCTATTTCGGCCAGGTACATGATCCCGATAGGGGGAGTATAGGAGTATTTGGCTAGGAGCCTCCGCTGGATAGACTGAACGGAATCCCCCCCTATCACTTCATCCAGTTGATACGGATAGGGGACCACTCGTGGGGGCTGATTCGATGGACCAGCTTCGTTCCCCCGGGGAGCTACTTGAATAGCAGGCGGCATATGTCCTGGTTCTGGCTGATCCACCGACGTGCCCGTTTCCGTAGATTTTTCCCATGATTCCAAGAGGACCTGCCAAGTAAGAAGGTAGACTTCATTCAATAGAATACCATCCTAAAAGAGAATCAGTACTCGGGAATACAATGACTCTATCCTTCCGAAAAAGTCCTCATCTTCTGGAGGCCAAGCCTTTCCTGAAGAAGCCATCAATCCCTTGAAGATGCTATCCATCTATTGCGACTCTTTCAATCCTAGGTCTATCCTGAATGAAAGTCCAAACAATAAGGCATCCTTGTCTTAAATCCTATGGTAGCGGTTCCTTCGAGTAAGAAAAAGGTACTCTTTCCCACGTTTGGTGACTTCCCTTCTGTGTAGACTGCCTAGCAGGCTTTCAGTCTTAGTACTATGGTGGCCGACCAGAATAAAATCCATCTTCGTGGGTAAGCTATCGAACAATCTACTTACCATCCCTCTGACGGTTAGCCAAGTACAAGTCCCTCTACCTCTAACTCCGCATATAGTTTCCCATCTCCCAGTGGAGCCGAGCCATCTACTTCTCTAAGACCTGTTCCCAGGGATCCAGATCAATATGCCTCAGAGTGGGAAGGAAATTACCCCGGCCATCGACCTAATGCTTTTCCATCTATCTCGTCCGAACCGAGACCATCAAAAGTGGCATAATAGCCACCTGGATTCCATTCCTTTGATCTATCTACATCGTCCGAACCAAGTAGGTAGGCTCCATCTTATTCTATTTTTCCACTGTCCAGGGCCGTACCCTGCAGAACAAGGCCTTCTCTTTCGGTGCTAGGCGAGGTTTGGAACCCTACCATCTATTCTATATGCATCTCAATTGCTTCGCACCTCTGCTTGGAAACCTCCATACAACGCCCCTTGTTTTGTTCTAGCCGCTAACCATCTAACGATCTTCTTCCATATAATATAATAAGATAGATGCCTTCATCCCACCCACAACATAAGCGGGTGTGAAAGCCCATCTGCGCTTGCCAATGACCGGAAAGAAAGCGCTCTGCTCAAAGAAAGGCTTGAACAACGGATAACAGAACTTTATGCAGCACTTGCACCTCGCTCTTATAGTATAACATTCTTCTTATGGTCAGGGGTAGCGAGACCTGAAAGAAGCATTAAGGAATCGAAGGGAAAAAAGAACAAGAAGTGCAGCTATCTCCGCCTCACAGCATCAGTTTACCGCACAATATTTTCGGTTCACTTCGTCACACTCTCGATTAACAGAAGGGGGATATGGTTCAACCCCGGTCCACAGGCTCTCGATCTTTATCTACAGGGTGCTTTTCACTCTCCCTTTCCCCCCTTTCTTTTGAATGCCAGGGATGGAAAAGCAAAGATCATATCTTGATGCGTGTATCGTACTGCTATCCAAACGAAGATTAATTACCTACCGACCATGTTCGTTCTCTGTGTTGGGCGGCTTTACTCTATCGATAGAGGAAGTTGATATGAGAGATGGACAAAGTCGGCTTCATCTAATGCTTGCTCTCATCTTGCGAAGAATGTTTTTAGTCCTTTTCCCTGTCTGTCTACTGAAAATGGCTTAGGAATAGGTCCCTGCCCAGTGGTTTTTGAATAGATCAATCCCTGCTTTGGCTGTCTCCTTCCATTCTTATCTTACATGTGCATTTCTGATTCAATTGCATAAGCCCTAGTTTCGACTGACGCAGCAATCCTTCCCTCACATCGGATTCACTTGTCCCACCCTCGCTTCCTCCTTGAAGGCCTAAGTAAGAGCCTATTCATGTACAGTTGATTCTCGAACAGTAAGAGCTAAGACTGATGCCCCTATTCCCTCCTATTCACTCCTTGGCCTTTTCTCATCCTTATCGTAGGGGACTAGAGCGAGCTGGCTAAGCCGCATCTTCTGCTTTCTTTGCATTTGGCATTTGTCCTGAAAAAAGCCCTTATTGCAAAGAGCTAGATTATTAGTTCTAACCTTTAGATTCACGTCCGGTAATGCTACATCTAAGAGCTTATTCTTCATGAAAATATCTGCTTCTTCTTGCTGCGGATTCGTGAAAAGAGCTAAGATCCGCTGCTATTTCCTAATTCCGTGCCACGGTACAGGATATTTGCCGATGGATGGAGTTGTAGTGGAAGTTTCTGTTGTTCCTTGTACGGTAAGTCACTAGAACGAGATAAGCCACTAGGTTCAGTAGTTAGATATAGTATTCACTAATCAGTGAAGCGCTAACAAAGTTGTCCGGGAAAGCATCTGACGAAGCAAGAAGTCCTTGAACTCTCCTTGGGCCTGTTGATCGGCTTGGAGTTCCATATCTCTGAAGAGTAACTGCTAGCGCACAACGGCTTAACTTGACGTAGCCCAAGCTCTTGCTCAGCACAAATAGTAGCAAGCAAAGGGTTAAGTTATTCATTTCTCAAGTAGAGCTAGCTAGGAGTAGTTCCTCAATAGAAGGTGCTTTACTTCTTAACTTCTAAGCGTTGAGCTCTACTACAAAGTTACCTTTCGTTTTCTTATTAGTTGCTTGGCTTATAGGTATGGGTAGGTGCCTTAGTGGGATTGTCGATAAGCAAGACCTTGCAAGTCCTTTTTCTTGTTGGTTTCAATAGTATGGGAAATCGGGGGTCGAGTCTCGGGCGAGCGAATCTTCTTTCCGGTCGAGCTTAGACCTATCTTCCTTCCTTCCATAAAGAAAGGGGCTGTGAGTCTTGCCAGTTCGAAAGTGCCTTCGACGGAAGTCTTCAAACTCGCTCACATTACGATCCCTTTCCGGAAGGAGCCATGAAAGCTTCTATCGTTTCGAACTTTACGAAAGGAGGCTAGACAAA